AAGAATATTCAGCTTTAATTAGATATCACTATTTAATTTCACCATAACCTTTTTCTAAGTCATTGTTGTCTGTTCCATTACGAAAAAATATACTCTCTAACCAATTCAAAATGAACATTAAAAGAATTACATGTTTTTAAGTTTTTACCTTTGTTTGTTTGTTTGTTTTTAAGGGCAAAGCTACACAAGGGGCTAACTATGTTCTGCCCACCGTAGGCATTTAAACTCGACTTTTAGTGTTATAACCCTTCAGATTTACCGCTGACCCACTGGGGTGGATGTTTTATCTTTTGATACTTCAAATGTTACCAAAACTTGTCAACAAAAACTGATATTAGTAAATTATAAAGCCTATTATGGTACAGCTTATAAATCAGAGGACATCATCTTTGTGACAAGGATTATGATGTCATAATGACTCACTTGTTTTAAGATATATCCATACTTAAGAGATCCTGACAAGCAAAATTCAGTTTTATACTAGTACCGAAATAAGATGTATGCCAATAGTATAATAGCTTACATTTTAAATTCTGCAAGTCATGTGTTCATAACAGAAACTAAGAATGACTATGTCGTGTTGTACTAAGTTTTCTTTAGGAGTGAATGGAATGATTGATTGTAATTTTGAGATTCTATTTATGTCAAACAAAGCAAGCAAGTAAATAAGAAAGTTTACTAGAAATTGAAATAGTTAAGTGACTTGTTTTCAAATAAGAATTGCTTTTCTTTTAATCCTATTCTTTTTCTCATTTTCATCCTTTTATATATATAAAACTGTATATTAAATTATGTTTATATACATATATATAAGAAACTGTATATTAAATTATGTTTTTATTAAACTTTTCTTATTTGCATCTGAGTATCTACTTGTATCATTATGTTATAGTGTTGTTCGTTCTCTTTAGTACAAGAGATATGTTAGGTTTAGAGAGTTTTTCGTCGTTTAGTGTTGAAAACAAAATTGAAAATTTATTTTGTTTTACAAAAAGTCAAAGCTATCTGTATTTAAAGAATATTTCAAAGGAGGGTCAAATCCGAACTTTTTATTTTTCTAAAACTTTCACGACTTTCTTTCTTTTTTTAAGCTACACAATGGATAATCAGCGTTCCCTTCACGGTGGGGAACCAAACCCCGGATTTTAGCGTAGTAAGTTCATAAACTCACCGCTGACGCAACGAAGGGCAATTCATGAGCTGAATCTTAAACGTTAATTTTCTAAACGTTCTCCAGTGAATTAATGCTTCGTATCGCAATGTTGAACTACGTCCCAATATGTTTCGTCTCAAGGAACGTTAAGAGCTTAACGAGCTAAGAGCTGTTACGTTTATTAATCTTGTATTTTCTCAATAATAAACAAACCTGTTAACTAAATGTTACCATGCATGAGCAGTACGATAAGCTAAACAGAGTTGATTGCAGTATAGGGGTGAGGGGTCCTGATGTGTCAACAGTAAGCTCACGGATTTACAATGCTAAAATCCAAGGTTCGGTTACCCGCGGTGAACAACGACAACACACAGTGGCGGATATTGGTTTGCAATTTGTCTCTTACAAATTTTGTCTCCTGTTGGAATTAAACATCGATTTGTACAAACGTTAAAACACCACAAATGTATATTCGAACCATGGAAGTTATTCTTTCAGAATAACAATTGAATCATCATTTTTGTCAATCTTTACCACATATATAATTGCATAAATAGCTATATATCTATATATATATATGCACATATACACTAACTGGTCATTTTATGAGGAATCACATATGCAAAATAGACTGATAATGTTTTGTATCAAGTAATTGTTTAAACTCTATAAATGTGGAGATATGGTTATATCATATAATGGTTAGACTATAAGAGAATGAATAAGAGCAAGACCTCACTTAGACTTTCAATGAGATATGCCCGTATATAGGAGACCATTAGCAGGAGCGTTGTTATCAAAGATCATTTGCAAGACCAAGTTTTCCAAACAGTATGCCATCAAATTCTATCAAAAATGGTAATAGAAAAAAGTCTGTACCCCATCGTGTCCAAACTTCTGTCATTATAAAAGGTGGTTCAATGGTCTAATCACGTAAGAGGTGGGGCAATAAAAGAACACAGTATCGTGTGTAACAGTTAGTGGAAAACTACAGTAAATATAAAAACTAGCAGAATTCTTGATATAAGAGAAACTAGTTTCGACAGACGAATGTGTCGAAACTACTTTTCAATCTGATATCAAGACTGCTAACAGTTCGTTCAATTTACTGGGGTTTTCCATTAATAGGCGGAGTCCTGAATATGTATATAGAACTTGCAAGTTAATTACAGCTGTGCTGTATAAGTATAGATGTGGAGAACAGTTACAATGTTTATATACAACCCATAGAAAGTAACCTATTTAAATAAAAATAATAACTAGTTAAACTAATATAAGCAAACTGTACTCTTTCATTGACAAATATTTGGAAAAATTACGTGAATAAAATAAAGTTATATTTTTAACAGTTCAAATTTTTATTTAACTAAACTTATCACAACAATTGCCCTTTGAAAGAAGCTTAAAATGCTTCAAAAATATCATGAATTCAATGATGTATTGATTTATTAGAACCGCTCAATACGAATTTTTGGAAGCAAAATATCGCATCCCTACATCTTTTTGTAAATAAATGTTATTGTATATCTATATGTATGTATGTTACTGGTTTTAATTTGAAAGATACAAGTTTCTATCTTCTTGAACAAAGATAGAGATTGTTTACATATTTGTGGATATAAATATACTGGTAATTGTATTTTACGAACTCTAGATTATGTATTTTAAATTCTCTAACATTCGAAGTGGATAAATTAAACTTTAATAAAAGATGGCAGAGTGCGACACAATGTAACTAGCGTGCCGGACTGTGGAGCTGAAGTTCTGTGGTTTGCGTCCTATTATTGGCAAAAATAATTTGCGCTCTGCAATTTGAGGTCTGTGTGTGTTATAAGAGTGACGGTCAAATCCCAGTTATTGGTCTAAAAATAGTAGCCCAAAATTAGTTGACTAGCCGCCTTTCTTGTATCTTATCACTTCAAAACTAGTGTCTGCATGTAGCTTTGTGCGAAATCCAAAAAGCAAACAAATAGTTAATAAGAGATGGATACAGTGTTATGTTTGAAGAAATTTAGATTACGCTTACTTATATCCAGAGTTGGAATGATTAGCTAGGTACATTACATAAGTTTACGACAACTTTTTCCATATGAAAAACTAAATCATTTAAAATATACCACAATTTCTAAAGCGCCTTTCATAATGTGGCCCCCCAGTGGTACAGCGGTATGTCTGCGGACTTACAACGCTAGAATCCGGGTTTCGATACCCGTGGTGGGCAGAGCACAGATAGCCCTAGTGTAGCTTTGTGCATAATTAAAAACAAACAAACAAACAAACAATCCATAATGTGACCATGAAGCTACTTACACTTTTACATAGCTAACTTGTGCAAAAGTTAAGAAATTAGCTTTATTTAATTTTTTAAAATTTTATTTAACATATTATATTATAAAACTGTTTAGGGTCTAGAATTTTTTCTTAAAACGAAATTTGAATTTTTCACTTCTGATGATGGACGTTCATGTTCAGCTATCCGAAACATGGACGGTCAATGTATTTATGCCTTCTGACATAATATTTATTGTAATATCCTTCGTTACGCAAAACAAACATTCTTTAGTAACTTAACTTCATTAATATACTTATTTAACGTTTATTTGCGAGAACATTTGCAACATAGCGACATATATATGAACAGTGACCCTTTAGTATCTGAGAATATATATGTTTACGGGAGATAATCACATGACACAATCATGCACAAATGTCATTTATCATGATGATACTAATAAAATGATGTGACCATGATCATTAGTCATAAAGTTTTCGTTTTTTGGCTTACTGTTCTCCACCTAAGAGCGATAACTGAAACTTGCTGACGTATAATATATTAAGCAGCATGGGAACTGACAGCAAGCTTAATGTTTTCCTTCCGGAGTTTCTTCGAGAGAATACCTTTAATATAGAACTGAACAATTGCCAATCTCTCTCTCTCCAACTTTCTAGTTACTCAAGTTGTTAATAAAAGGTATCATTTGGTGTAATTTATGTCGTTATAATTGGATAAACCATTTAAAGAACGTGACATATCTAATATGTACACTTAATTTAAAATTATGTTTTATCCATATCCACAATGACAGGATAAAATAAGACAATGCATAATATGTATCCTGGATACTTTTTCATTATACTTTAGGTATAAAAGATATTTGTATATCATGAAAAGATTAAACAATGAAATTAATAATGACTTAAACTTAAGAAAGTTTGCAATAGTCTAAACACCCTAGACAACGATAAAGTTATTATCTTATAATAGCATTCAAATATTATGGTTAAATTAAGGCTAGTTATGGTTGGCTTGTTTATAAAGTTATTTCTGTTGATGTTATGTGTGTGTGTGTGTGTGTGTATGCGTACAATAATGTCGTCTCTATCTTTAATATCTTTAATTAAAGCAGGATTTCCCAAAGTTTTTTGAGTTGTCAACCCCTTAACAAACTTATGACGTTGTCATCGACCCCCAAATTCTTAGAATATAAATTATAAATGAAACTTCATATTCAAGAAACTTCAATATATAATCCACTGTTATTCATCATAATAGAACCGATAGGAAATATAAGACATGAAAAATAATGAGGGTTTATGATAAACTTTGTAAGATGGGCAGCAACTGCCTGTTGTAGAGACACAAGTGTAGAGGACAACGTTTCGAAAGGCAGAAGATTTTCGAAGCGTTGTCCTCTACACTTGTGTCTCTACAGCAGGCAATTGTCGTACATTTTACAAAGTTTCATCACGAATACTCTGCCTAAGCAAACTATCAAAGAATGAGGTTTTAATTTTCTCTAATGAGATAAATGGGCCTGATGGGTTTTAACAAGTGTATGAATACTAGGCTGTATGTTTGTGAGTTTGAGTCTGAAGTCCTCGCGTACTTCGACGTTAATCCTGTTCCTCTGTTTGCTCAAAAAACCACTGACATGGTTAAATCTAGCTTCAACCATGTATGAGCTTGGAAAGGCGTAGGGCGGTTAGTTGCGTAGGCCAACCTTACCCTAGGAGCCATTTTCGGCCCCCTATCGACCCCTAGATCTTTATTCATCCCCTGTACAGTCGCATTGTCCCCAAGGGGTCATTATCAACCACTTTAGAAACCATGATTTAAGTTATTTTAAATAATTTCACGTTTTTTTATTTGTTTGAAATGAACACTCTATCGTTTTTACTGGAGGGAATTTAGAATACAAATAATAAAAATACATGATTTTGTTATTTATCTCTAGACAAACATATTGAAACTCAAGTGACTACTTTATGATTAAAGACTAAGAGAAGCGAAAAACCTGAATCGGAACTAGTACATGATTGAATTGCTTGGTTTCAGATGTCATAGAAATTGAACCAGAACCAGAAATATATTTACTAAAATGGTAACGTTTTCACCACTTTCGGCAACCGGTAGACATATATCAAAACTTTGCTTTATGGTGTTGTTATTTACCTGTTTAAACAGCCACAAAAGTATTGACTAATATCGAAAACTGCATCAGTTTAATTGTAAATAAACAACAATTTTAAATATACAGCTGGTCTTGGTTAAACACAAAACACATCGAGTCACAGAATGCATGAATTTTTACAATCTCACGTAAAATCTCGTACTGACAACCAGGGATCGCCTAAAGCTCTTTTTTTTTTATATAACACAAAGAAAGGTCCCCGCGATACGCTTTAAACAATGGTGTGCATGTATGTCATCCGCTATGCAGATCTTTTGAATACTGGCATAGAATCTCCTAGAGCATCACACTTACAGGCCAGTTAAAAAAATATACTACGTAATTCTAGGCTAAATTTCATGGTACGGACTCTTGTCAAGTTCAGTAGAAACCGTATTCTTAGTGAATGTAAGTGCTACAGCGTACCTTTTTCTTCAAGAGAAAATACATTTCCACGTTCCAAAAGCAAAGTAAGCGCGAATATTACATGACAATCCGCTGTATCCAAACTCTTACAAATGGATTTACAGTTCTAAGTAGCCTAATAACATAAGTTAGATCGATGGTTTGATTTCTGCAATATTCCGTACAACTCTCACTGGTAACCTCCCTTGAAAGATTGAATTCACTTAGAAAAAAAAAATCTTTCTAGATGTGATTATCAAGTTGTGTGGATAAGATACACATTCCACTGCCATGTGTGTTCTTGAAGCTAAGCTATCCATTACATTCAGCATTTAGAATTCAGGAAGCGTCAAGAATAAATTTCTTCTGTGGTCATTAGTAGTAGAAACACTGAATAAAATTAGCGTGCATGGGAAGCATTCTATCAACCACTGTAACAAAGTTATTCATGATTTCTAAACACACATCCTTACAATTGTATCTTTAAACAAATTAACGCCATCCATCCTAGCAAAAAAAAAACTTCCTATATGTAAGTATCAAACAAACTCACAACACATTCAGTAAAAATACATAGAAAGAAGAAACACAAAAGAACATACAGCAATTGACTTTTTTTGTTTGCTTATTTCTAAGCTCAAAGTCACACAATTGGCTATCTGTGCTGTGCTTACCACAGGTATCGAAACTCGGTTTTTATCGTTATAAGCCTTGAAACTTATCGTTTAGCCACTGGGAAGTCAGCTATTGGCAAACAATATACAATATCAATAAAACAAATAGGTACATTAAAAGACTTATACAACGTTGCTCTCCGCCTTTGTTCACCTAAAGAAATAGAAGGTGAAATAAAGTGTTTTACATAATACATACTTATGACACATTAAAAGACTTATACAACGTTGCTCTCCGCCTTTGTTCACCTAAAGAAATAGAAGGTGAAATAAAGTGTTTTACATAATACATACTTATGACTATTGTTATAAAGTTAGGTGTAAGAAATATCTGTTGGAGTTGAGAGACGTGAGAAAACAGCCAGCCTTTGATTAGTCTCTGAGGAATTATGGGATTACAGAACAATAAATCATTAGAAAGTAATTGGAGTGAGCGAGTACAGCGGCCACCTTTCTAAGTCAGCCTGTATGGATACACCCTATGGTTACTAAACGTTAGAACCCGATATACAGGACACAGTGCTAGGCCAGAAAGAACGGTCCGGTTCCGCGTTGGTTTCAGAAAGGAATATAAATTATCGGAGTTTAAAGAAAAGAAAGAAGACTGAGAGATTTGAGAGAGAACAAATAAACCGAGAGAGGTGAAGGAAGAAAGTAATATGCTGCCAGTAAGAAACAAAACCTATTTATAAATCTATACGTCGTTGATTATAGTAATAAGCAGTTACATTATGTTATGCTTACATTAGTATAAATTCATTCCTGATAGGAATAAGTACAAACTATATAGAATTGATAGACAGATAGATAGAACTCAAGTATAGCACAATCTTTAACAATATGAGATGTCAATGCTTGAAATATATTGAAATAAACGTGTTGGTAGAAATGAATAAAAACCCTATAACCCGAGCGCTTTCGAAAGGTGGACATTTCTTCTTCAGGGGCAAACTGAAGTAGAAAGATCCACCTTTCGAAAGCGCTCGGGTTACGGGGTTTTTATTCATTTCTATCAAGACTTCTTGAACCTACGTGTTTTTTTAACACCATGATTGAAATAGACGTGTTTACCTTTTTAATCAAAACAATATTTTATTAACTTCTTAATACTAAGCTTCAACCTCTTAATTTATTAACAGATGTTAAAAATCACCTCTGTTCTTTGAGTTTCTTCCAATCAAAAACTTTAATGTTGTAATCAAGATTCCTCTTTATTAAAAAGCTAAAGCAATTTACAAAGTATATTGTACTGGATAAACGAATTAACACAAGTGCAGATACGTGGTGTTGATGCTAATTTATCGATAACGTTAAAAACATAACACAGCTCTAAAAGAAAGTGTTTTGTATAGATATTAGATTATGACCAAAGAAAAGAATCACTTTTAATAATAGCAGACTTAGCCTCAAAGAGATACGTAAAAACTTAACGATTTTGTTTTGGTCCAAATTAATCACTATCACAAGAATATGACTTAAACAAAGGAAAAAACTATACACAATTTAAAATGGATATTTATTTTACAACATAATATGTGCATAAAATGGATGTATACTTTTCTGTATACTGGTAGATTATGCTGAATATAATATTATGAGTGTCACTACATTTTACAAGAGTCTTCCTTCTTTCTCTTGAGAAAAGATTGTGCAAAAATGAGTGTCAGGCTACTTATTTTTAAGAATAATACTTTTTTGTCAATTTTGTCAGTTGAAGATTATGAAATTATTTTTTAAATCACGAATTGAACTGGAAATTTTAATCAGTGAACAAATTATAGAAAAGTCATACGACACGCATAGTTATCTTAAAGATGCAAAGTGAATTATAATACCATGCCATCTATAAAAACAAACTCGTATCGGGAAATGAATGATTGAATTTCTGTATAATTTGTTCCTATCCCATTTTCTTTCCGATCTTATTTCTCAGTACTACTTTTCTTGGTGTATGTACTTCAGACCCTGATAACAACAATATGATTTGTCATCTGTTAGTTAATTTATCTGTAGCTGGCAAAAAATATTTTAAATTAGTTAAACGTATCAAAATTTAATCAATATCCTATTTAAGTAACATACAGTTACACAAGTTATTTCGTCCAGCTTTCTTGCTGTTAAGTTGTGCGTTCTACATAGACGTTATTGTATTATTTTTCATATTTTGCTTTTATTTTTTTATAGTTTCAAGCTCTAAGAAAACCCATATGTAATAATAACAAGCAAACTAGAAGGTTTGTTTTGTAATTAAGCACAAAGCTACACAATGGGCTATCTGTGCTCTGCCCACCACGGGTATCGAAACCCGGATTCTAGCGTTGTACGTCCGCAGACATACCGCTGTGCCACTGGGGGGCCAAACTAGAAGAATATTAGGTAGATTAAAGCGGCTTTTAGTAAAGTCTTAAGACTCAAATGTTGTTGTCTTCACAAATTTTTGATTAAATAAGATCAAGGTAAATGTTAACGTATTCTGACAAAACGTGCATTTATTAAGAAAGCCATCGCTAATTTCCTGTATACAAGCTATTCAGCTCGATAGAACGAAGAATCCAATTATATTACATTTAGATCGTTAGTTTATTTTTTACAACTTTTTTTTAATTGTTATCTGTTAACCAATACTAACTAACAGCACGCTAAAAAGACCCATAAATAAAACTAACAAAAACAATAATAATAATCATAACCAAAACTAACAAAAAATACATACGGCACTAAAAACTTTAACCAAAACACACATAAATATATAATACGCTAAATACTTACTTTTAATTAAAGTTAACAAAGATATATACTATACTAAATGCTTATAACCAAAACTTGCAAAGGTACACAGCACACTAAAATACACATAAACAAAATTAACAAAGCTATACATTAAGTATCTATCACTCAAACTAACAAACATACTTGCAAACAAAACTAACGGAGATACATGATACACTAAACACTTATAACCGAAACTAACAAAGATACAGAGCACACTAAATACTCACTATTCGTTGGTAAAAGAGTAGCCCAAAAGT